CCCCCCCCCCCCCCCAATTTGTCCTTCTGCCCCCCCAGGACTGCAGCGTCTTGGCCTTTGTCCTGGACCACCTCCTGCCCCACACGCAGAACGCCGAGGACAAGGACACGCCGGCGCTGGCCCGGCTCTTCTTGGCCAGTCTGGCGGCGGCCGGCAGTGGCACCGACGCCCAGGTGGCACTGGTCAACGAGGTGAAGGCGGCCTTGGGCCGGGCGCTGGCCATGGCCGAGAGCACCGAGAAGCACGCCAGGTAGGGGACACGGGGACAACACCCTCACCAGCGGCCTTGTTGGTCACGGGGTTGTGGGGTTGGCCTGTCCTCTGTGGGTTTTAGATGGTCCTCACGGGGGTTTAGGTGGTCCTCACGGGGGTTTAGGTGGTCCTCACGGGGGTTTAGATGGTCCTCATTGGGTTTAGATGTCCATCATTGGGGCTAGATGTCCCTCGTGGGGGTTTAGATGTCCCTCGTGGGGTTGAGGTGCCCTCCATGGGGTGAGATGTTCCTCATGGGGTTGAGGTGTCCTCCGTGGGGTTTAGATGTTCCTCATGGGGTGAGATGGTCCTCACGGGGTTTAGATGTTCCTCATGGGGTTGAGGTGTTCTCCATGGGGTGAGATAGTCCTCATGGAGGTGAGATGTCCACTGTGGGGTGAGAAGGTCCTCATGGGGTTGAAGTGTCTTTCATGGGGGTCAGATGACCTCCATGGGGTGAGATGGTCCTCATGGGATTGAGGTGTCCTCCGTGGGGTGAGATGGTCCTCCATGGGGTTGAGGTGTCCTCCATGGGGTGAGATGTTCCTCATGGGGTTTAGATGGTCCTCATGGGGTTGAGGTGTTCTCCGTGGGGTGAGAAGGTCCTCATGGGGTTGAAGTGTCTTTCATGGGGGTCAGATGACCTCCATGGGGTGAGATGGTCCTCATGGGGTTGAGGTGTCCTTCATGGGGGTGAGATGTTCCTCATGGGGTTGAGGTGTCCTTCATGGGGGTGAGATGTTCCTCATGGGGTTGAGATGTCCTCCATGGGGTGAGATGTTCCTCATGGGGTTGAGGTGTCCTCCATAGCGTTGACCTCCACGGGGGTTGACGTGGCCTACATGGGGTTGACGTATCTTCCACGTTGTTGATGTCCCCTCTTTGGTGGGGGGTGACACAACCTCCGGGTGGGTTGTGCCACGTCCCCCGCAAGGTGTGACCCGTCCCTACGTGTGTGTCCCCCCCCTCCGACCCCCGCAGGCTCCAAGCCGTCATGTGCATCATCAGCACCATCATGGAGTCCTGCCCCTCCACCTCCAGCTTCTACAGCAGCGCCACCAAGACCCAACACAACGGCATGAACAACATCATCCGCCTCTTCCTCAAGAAGGGCTTGGTCAACGACCTGGCGCGGGTGCCCCACAGCTTGGACCTCTCCAGGTACCATCCCACCCCATGGACGCCCAGGGCTGGAGGGGTCTTGAGGGGGGTTTGGTGGGGTCTTGGGGGGGTTGTGGTGGGATCTTGGGGGGGGTTTGGGAGGTCTTGAGGGTCATGGTGGGCCTTGAGGGGTTGTGGGGAGTCTTAGGAGGTTGTTGTGGGGTCTTGAGGAGTCGTGGTGGGATCTTGAGGGGTTTTGTGGGATCTTCCAGGGTCTTGAGGAGTCGTGGTGGGATCTTCTGGGGTCTTGAGGGGTCGTGGTGGGGTCTTCTGGGGTCTTGAGGGGTCTTTGTAGGATCTTCTGGGGTCTTGAGGGGTCTTTATGGGATCTTCTGGGGTCTTGGGGGGTCGTGGTAGGATCTTCTGGGATCTTGAGTTGTAGTGGGATCTTCTGGGGTCTTGGGGGGTCGTGGTGGGATTTTCTGAGGTCTTGAGGGGTCTTTGTAGGATCTTCTGGGGTCTTGAGAGGTCGTGGTGGGGTCTTGAGGGGTCTTTATGGGATCTTCTGGGTTCTTTAGGGGTCTTTGTAGGATCTTCTGGGTGGGATCTTGAGAGGTTCTTGAAGGGTTGGGGGTTGCATCTTGGTGGTTCTTGAGTTGTGGGATCTTGAGGGGTTGTGGTGGGATCTTGGTGGTTCTTGAGGGGTCGTGGTGGGATCTTGGGGATTGTGGGGGTTCTTGAGGGGTTGTGGTGGGATCTTGAGGGGTTTTGGTGGGATCTTGGGGGTTCTTGAAGGGTCATGGTGGGATCTTGGGGTTCCTTGAGGTGTCGTGGTGGGATCTTGGGGGTTCTTGAGAGGTTCTTGAAGGGTTGTGGGTGGCGTCTTGGTGGTTCTTGAGTTGTGTGATCTTGGGGGGTTGTGGTAGGATCTTGGGGGGTCGTGGGATCTTGAGGGTTCTTGAGAGGTTCTTGAAGGGTTGTGGGTGGCATCTTGGTGGTTCTTGAGGAGTTGTGGGATCTTGAGGGGTCGTGGTGGGATCTTGACAAGTTGTGGTGGGATCTTGGGGATTATGGGGGATCTTGAGGGGTCATGGTGGGATCTTGGAGGTTCTTGAGGGGTCATGGTGAGATCTTGAGGGGTTGTGGTGGGATCTTGGGGTTCCTTGAGGTGTCGTGGTGGGATCTTGGGGTTCCTTGAGGTGTCGTGGTGGGATCTTGGGGGTTCTTGAGGAGTCGTGGTGGGATCTTGAGGAGTCGTGGTGGGATCTTGAGGGTTCTTGAGAGGTTCTTGAAGGCTTGTGGGTGGTGTCTTGGTGGTTCTTGAGGAGTTGTGGGATCTTGAGGGGTCATGGTGGGATCTTGGAGGTTCTTGAGGGGTCGTGGTGGGACCTCGAGGGGTCGTGGTGGGATCTTGAGGCATGGTGGGGTCTTGGGGGTTCTTGAGGGGTCATGGTGAGATCTTGAGGGGTCGTGGTGGGATCTTGGTGGTTCTTGAGGGGTCGTGGTGGGATCTTGAGGGTTCTTGAGAGGTTCTTGAAGGGTTGTGGGTGGCATCTTGGTGGTTCTTGAGGAGTTGTGGGATCTTGGGGGGTCGTGGTAGGATCTTGGGGGGTCGTGGTGGGATCTTGAGGGTTCTTGAGAGGTTCTTGAAGGGTTGTGGGTGGCGTCTTGGTGGTTCTTGAGGAGTTGTGGGATCTTGAGGGGGTCGTGGTGGGATCTTGGTGGTTCTCGAGGGTTTGTGGTGGATCCTGGTGGGTGGGGGTGGCCCTGTGGTGGGTGTCTGTGGGTCGTGGGGGGTTCCTCAGCTCATTGTGTC